GGTCTTATTGCTGCCTGGCCCGTGTGGCTCAGCGGTTGAACGCTGACCCCTGCACCAGGAGGTCGCTGGCTCGTTTCCCAGTCAGGGCACATCCCAGATTGTGGGCCCAATCCCCAGTGGGGGGCATACAGGAGGCAGCTAATTAATGTTCTCTTTCATCAATGTTTCCATCTCCCCCTTCTTCTCTCTCTCAAACAATGAAGAAAAGAAAATTTTTTTAATAAAATAAATGGTCTTATTGCTACATTGAAAAGGTTTTTTAAAAAAAGCAAGGGGCGCCCTGAACGGTTTGGCTCAGCGGTTGGAGCATCGGCCTGTGGACCAGAGAGTCCTGGGTTCAGTTTCCGCTAAGGGCACGTACCAGAAAAGAAAAAAAAAAAAAAAAAAGCAAGAGGCAAAATTAATTTTAATAATATATGTTGGTTAGACTACTATATCTCAAACATCATCATTTCAACATGTGATCAATGTAAAAATTATTAATGAGGTATTTCACATTCTTTTTTTTTTTTCAATCTTTACCCAGGATATCTTTCCATTTATCTTCAGATAGAGTAGGAAGGGGAAAGCGAGAGAGTGAGAGAGCAAGGGAGAGAGAGAGAGAGAGAGAGAGAGAGAGAGAGAGAGAAACAGAGAAACATCAATGTGATAGAGCCACATCGACTGGTTGCCTCCCATCATGACCTCACCAGGACTGGGGACGAACCGCAACTGAGGTACATGCCCAGCTCTTTGGTCCGTGGGCTGACACTCTAACCGCTGAGCCAAATTGGCCAGAATGAGGTATTTCACATTTTTAAATTGGCAGTAAGTCTTAGAAACCTGGTGTGCAGCACCTTAATTCAGACTGGCTACGTTTCAAGTGCTCGACCACCACAGGGCAGCTACTGCATTAACTCTAAGCATAATTGATGGGGTTGAAATCCCACAAACTAGCTGTGGGACCTTTTACAAATTACTTACCCTCTTTCCCTCAGCCTCGCCCTCTCCAAAATGGGCACGACAGTAACAACGCCTGCCTTAGAAGGTTGTTACGAGGGTACAATGCTCCTAGAATAAGGTGTGCCATGATAAGAGGTATAAAAGCATTATCTATTATTATTTCATTACTTCTCGTCCTTCTAAAAATCAAGCAAGATAATGGATGTTGGAAGTAAAACCTGAAACAAAAATTCAGACCTTGTTTAAAATTGCAATTGTCACCAACTGCAGTTGAACTCATGAAAAAGCAGTCCTGACCTCCTTCCATGGGTCCTGTCGTGTTTCAGGTGGAGGTCCCTGTAGTCTTAGACTAAATTCTCCATTTCCCCTTAGGCTAGTTTAAATTGTGTTTCTGTCCGTTGCTACCAAAAGAACGTCCTAGGGAGGCTTGGCTTCGTTCCTGCCCAGCCATTCCGTGCTGAGGGAAGTCGTGGGGGTCCCTGCCTTGGCGCCATACACCTATGAGCCACCTGGCATGACCATGATCCATAATACAGGTGAATAATAAAGACAGGTAATGGATGGATAGTGCTTAGCCCTCTAAGTGACAGAAGGCCAGTGGGACATCATGCGTGCTGGTGCATGGCACCATGGCTTGGCAACAATGCTCAATCAACCGTGTCACTTATTTTCACTGTCTCTGAAGCCAGACACTGGAATGAAAAGATGTGGGTGCCACTCTGACAGGGCACATGGTCTGGTTATAATGAGGATCCAGCCTGGCATACCTGTGTGACCAGGAGAGAAAGTAAGCCTTGCTCCTCCTTTCTCTTTGTAACAGGCTCTCTCTCACAGGGCAGCCAGGGCCACGCTGAAGGCAGGGAAAGTTGATTTGGGGGCTAGGTGATTCCCTGGAATGGCATAGAGGGGCCATGCTTGAAGATTTGGGAACCGAGGGAGAGGAACAAAGTCTGAACTCTGAAGGACTGGGGAGAAAAGGCTAGGTTTTCCTTGCCTTCCCTGGGCTTGCTGGTCTCCATGGAGTCACTTCTGGTCAGGTCGTGGCAACACTTTCGAAATAACTCTCAAGATCTGACATAAGACTGGCCTTCAAAGTGCACAGAGCTGCTCTGGTGGTTCAGACGTGGCTAGGAATCATTTTCTAGCTATTCGACCTCTGTTAAGTTATTGCTGAGCCTTAGTTTCCTTGTCTGTAAAATGGGAGAAAACAATACTGTATGGTCATAATAGAATAATTTGAATTTGAAGTGGTCTAAGCATACTTATGATTTCACTTTATGTGTGCAAGTTCATCAAGAACCTTGCAAGGCAGCATTGTAAATTGCAAACTGTGTCTATGCTGTAGCCACGTGACAGCCCTATTCTAATTGGTAAAGAGAAATACTGCCATCCTTCTTTTGGCAGGTGAGTTTTGGATTATATCAGTTTGAATTATATGAAGTCTTTACAAATGTCTCCCTGAGTAGTTTGATTGTATCTCCTTTATCTCCTTTATAGATTAATTATGAATATTAAATGAGATAATGCAGTAACCAGCCCACAGGACACACTCAGTAATGGCAGTGTTATTCTGATATAATCATAATATGTGAGAACAAGGAGAGATATGATGGGAGAAGGTTAAAACGCACAGCTCTGGTTGGCATATGAGTTTGCAACCCCTGATCTAGAGGAAAAAGGGATTCTCTGTGTATGTGTTCTCTGCAAAAGTTGTGTATTCTTGTTTCAAAGCCTTGATGTTCATTTTTCCTTTAATCTCCCCACAGTTCTAAGAGGCTGACACTATTATCCCCATATGGCAAAAGAGAAAACAGAGTTCCAAAAAATGAAGTCATTTTTCCTAGGTCAAAGCTGGATGGAACCCAGACCTGCTGACTCAGGGCCCAGGGCTCATGACCCTCTACCGTGGCCCCTCTTCTTGGGCACAGAACACATGAACATATAAACCTTACCAGGGCAGCTCTGTAAATAAGCCATTTACAGAAATCCACAAATCCAAGGGAGAACTCTTTCCTTGAAAAAAGATTCAGCATAGCCCTGGCCGGTTTGGCTCAGCGGTTAGAGCGTCGGCCTGCGGTCCCAAGAGACCCGGGTTCGGTTCCCGCTAAGGGCATGTACCTCGGTTGCAGTTTGTCCCCGGCCCTGGTTGGTCGTGCGGGAGGCAGCCACTCGATGTGTCCCTTCACGTCGATGTTTCTCTCTCTCTCTCCCTCTCTCTCCCTCCCACTCTATCTGAACAAAAAATGTCCTCAGGTGAGGATAAAAAAAAAAAAAAAAAGATTCAGCATAGAATTCCTTTAAAAAATACACGTAGACTAGAACTTGATGAACAGACATGAATTTTTTTACAGGAGTTCATCACGTGGAGGCAAAGCCAGGAGGGCAGGCCTTTGACCTGAGGAGGCGTGTGGGAAGCTGTGAGTGTATTCACTCCGCTACCCCACGGGGAACATTTGGGAGTAGAAAGCGCCAGAGACTGGGATGGTGGAGAAGAAGGTCTGCTCATCTGTGTCCACTCAGCAGATGAGGACGAGAGAAGGAAGGATGGAAGGATTTGCGAAGAAAGAAGTAACTTCTTGGGGAATTTGCTGACTATTTGATGGAGGCAGAGTAGCTTCAAACATGACCCCAGACTTGTGAAAGAAACTTTGATTCACTCGTACGATGGCACACTAAGACCCCGTCATAAGAACAAAGTCGATCCGTACATGCAGATATGGAAAGATGGTCAAGATACACACAGTGAAAAAGGCAAGTTGCAGCATGGAGTGTAAAGTATAACTGTCTCTGAGTTTAAAAAAGACAGATGCAAATATATATATTTGAAATTGCTGAAAGGACATAACATCTTGTTAGAGGGGTTACCTTTCAGAATTGGGCGGTGTATGGCTTTTCCTTTCCACGTTCTACCTTTTGAAGTGTCTAAATTTCTTAGATGAATATTGTTAGTTTTATGTCATTCAAACAAAAGGTAACCCCAACGCTGAAGGATTAGAAGGCAGGAGAGATTGGTGTCCCTGCTAGGGGCCGGGGAGAAGTCGGACATCTGGGAAGAAGCAGAGTGTGTGGCGCATGATTTGTGTTAGAACAAAGGGAGTAGTGACGTTCTGAAAGTGTGCAGCCTCTGACGAGCTGGCCGTTGAAAGTGGGCCTAATGGATATAATGACCAGATAACTGAATAAGAAGAAGGAGAACTGTGTAGACGATGGGGGTGGGGGGTGGGGGGACACGTTGTTGTTGCTATTGGTTCAGCATGGCAGGGACACAGGGTCCCTGGGAGATTCTTGAGGGGCTCTGGGCAGGAGAGTTTTGTTGTAGAAGAACAGAGGGCCACCCTGAGGTCGGGCAAGCACTCACAGTGTTAGGAGAGAGGCCTGGGTTGGGAGGCCGCTGGGGCCGCTGCTGAGAGAACCAGCCCTGGAATAGGCGGTGGGGATGGAGAAATAAGAAGCAAGTTTGAGGGAGGAGGAAAAGTGACGGGAATTGTGAAGAATTGGATGCCAATCTCAGCTTGCTGGCTAGTCCCTTTGAGCTCAGTTTGCCCGCCTGTGGAATGTATTTCATTAAACAAATGCTGTGGAGACTAAATGAGATAATGCACTTGCTAAATGTTAACTAGGATTGTTAGATCGGGTATTGAACTCAGACCCACCGGGGTTCAAATCCCTTTACCGCCAGTTACTAGGTGTTCAACCCTGAGCTAGTCGTTAACATCCCTGAGCCTGCTTCCTCTGGTGCACAGGCGGACAAGCTGTTGTCATGGAAATGAAACAGCACAGCAGAGGGCTGGCGGGGCCCGGCACAAAACAGGCGCTCAGCAGGCGGTAGAGCTGTAGCTGTCAACAGGTAACCCCCAGCCCTGGCCTGGCCCACAGTAAGCGCTCAGTAAGCGGTAATCCGTGTTAAACATAATTCCGAAGGCAGAGGTCCAGCGGTGGGAATCCGCGGGCTGCCCGGCCTGCAAAGGCGGGGAGCGCGCAGTCCAGCCCCCCCACCCCGCCCAGCACCGTAGCCTCCCGCCCTCCCGCACTTCCCGGGGCTGCCCGAGGACACTCACCCTCGCTGCCGCCCGCCGTCCGGGAGCGTCCGGAGCGACGAAGCTGTCGGCTCGCTGGCGTCCCGCCTCCCGCGGCGACAGCAGCCGTCCCGGCGCCCGCCCCGGGCATACTTTTCCCATCCCGTCACCGCGGGAGCGCCTTCCCCCGGGTCACGTGGGCCGGCCCGCGGCACCGCGCGCTCCCTTCCCAGCCGGCTTGGAAAAACCTTACAGCGCTGGGGGCAACTTGGTGTGTCCATGCATCTCTCCGTGTGCAGAACCTGTCAGTGTACCTGGCGGTTTACGTGCATGAAAGTGATTGCTACCCAGGCGTTTGCAAGGGTGTGGGTACGTGTGCGTGTGTCTGTTGCTTGCATGTGAGCGTTCATGTCACTGTGGATCTGAGGGTGTGTGGGAGCATGACAGCGTACTGCAGAGTACATTTCCCTGTGTACTGAATGTGCATGTACTTGAGAAGAATCGCCAGTGTGCACGCGCAGGGTTAGGTAGTGCATGTGCGCAAACATGCGTCAGGGCTCATGTATGCATGTGTCCATGCACATGTTCACTGTTGCAGCTTGTTGTGCAACTGGAGCATACACAGTAGTGCATTGGGTGCCTGTTTAACTGTGTGTGTGTATGGACAACCGCATATCAGTATGTATGTGCATGATGTCTGTGGGCACCTGTTTGTGCAGTGGCTCATTCTGTGGGTTTATATGTATGCGTGCCTTGGTGTGGATTTTGTCCAGATGTGCCTGTGAGCATGCATAATAGTGGGGACAGGTGCCCCTGCATTGCAGCCCTCATCTCCCTGCTCCCCAGAAGATAAGGCTTTACTGGCCTCACCAACTCTCTGGCCCAGCCTGCTGGAGTGTCCCAGCTCCCAGAAAATGCAGAGGAACACTGTTTAGGTAACAAGTAGACTCCAGGGGAAAGAAGGTCATGAGAGGCCTGGCTTTTGCTTGTCCCTCTTCTTTCCACTGCTGTCTTCCACTAGCTTCCGGTATTTCACTGGGCTGCCAGAGCATCTGGTTAACAGATGGTCTGTGAGCCAAGGTTTACAGTGCTTTAGTGCAGGTATGCATTCGAACTCTAATGCTGGTTCCACCACCTTAGACAAGTCAGTTACTTCACAGATGGTGTTTGATTTTCTTAAAAGCTAGGAGAATAATGAGTGCACTGTTTTCCCCTCCAAAGTTGGGACACTCACCCATAAAGGTGTTTGGTGAGCCATTGAACTATGGAGAGAATTACTACTAATATTACATAAATTTGACTTGAGGGTGAAAGTCAGTGGGCTCAACAAACATTCACTCTGCAAACATTTAATGAGCATCTATCATGTGTCAGTCCCCAAGCTAGATGCTGGGGACTAGCAGTAAACCAAATAGGTTTGGTGCCTCCCTCATGGAACTTAGAGTCTAGTGGGGATGACGCAAGTGGTTTCACATGAAATGAGTGTTACAGAAGAGAAAAACACTGGGGATAAAACCGGGTGGTCAGAGGAAAGTTTGGGGAAGTGAGGTTTCGGTTGAGCCCTGAGGGGTGACTGAGACCTGTCTGGGGGTAGGGAGGTGTGAATTCTGCACATGCATGAAAGAGGACATGTGAAGTAGTGTCGATTCAGAGGTGGCCAGAAAGGGGATACCCTATCTGGCTAAGTTGGTCTGTTCCCATTTGTGTCAGGAGTGGAAAAGGCGAGGAAACCCTGCTTAGAATGCCTTGAGCCCATTCAGAATCTAAAGGGCTCAGGAAAGCCCCTCTCCTAGGGTAGAGCAGGAATCTCTACCCTGAGGGCTCCACTGTCACAGAGGTTGAACTCACCGGCCTGCTCTTGCTGGTAAGAAAATGGTTAATGAAAAGTAGAGGAAAAGACAGCGGTGCCACACTTGGCATCCAGCAAGCATTTAATAAATGTTCCCTGGCTGAGTGAGTGGATGAATGAGGGTGGGTGGTTTTTCCAGCTTTTGGAGGATCCCAGAAACCCAGGTCCCCTGAAGCCAAGTCCTTGGGGCCTCGTCCTGTGGATGCTTGCAGTGGTGATGGCTTCCTGTAGCAGGAATTCCAAAATACTCATGAAATGGCTGTGCCAGGAGCTGCCTCAAGCTAAAATGGGGCTCAGAACTCCCTCCCTTGAGCCTGTTCTGTGTTTAATTCAGTCCACAAACATCCATTACCTATTATGATTGTGGGAACAAGGAGATGAACTTCTGGTCTATCAGGAAAATGAATGAGAACACAAATTACTCTAAGAGGCAAAATGTAGAAGGTAGTGCCATGAAGGAAGGTACAAAGTGTTATAAGAGATGAGGAGGGCCCTGGCCGGTTTGGCTCAGTGGTTAGAGCGTCAGCCCACGGACCAGAGTCCTGGGTTCGGTTCCCGCTAAGGGCACGCACCTCAGTTGCAGTTTGTCCCTGGCCCCGAGTGGGGTTGTATGGGTGGCAGACACTCGATGTGTCTCTCTCACATCGATGTTTCTCTCTCTCTCTTCCTCCCTCTCTCCCTCCCACTCTATGTGAAGATAAATGCAAAAAAATAATAATTAAAAAAAATAAAAATTAAAAAAAAAGAGAGAGAGGAGGAGGCTATTGTTTGTTTGATTCAGTTCAATTCATTTCACATCTGTTCATGCCTAGAGAACAGGCCCAGCTTCAAACAAGAAATAATGAATGGCATCGTGACATTGATGGCCAGAGAGTTCACAGTCGACGCGTCAGAGGCAGCCATGAGACAGATGTAGTATTTTGGCTTGTTCCACATCTGTCCAAATCTGTCTCGGGTATGCCTTCCTATACAGCAGAGGCTAGAAAACAAAATAACCATTTCCTAGACTCCTTGCTGCTGGGTTCCCATTGTGCTATGACTAATTTAGGTTTTGGCTAGTCCAGTGTGCTTGTGCATGACCTGAACTTAAAGCAGAGTTAGGAAAAATAATTGAATTAGGTGGAGTGGAGGCAGTAGCCTGGGAGGAGCCCATTTTGCTGGTGCTAACCCAAAGGTGCAGTACGACTCTGGAGTCCTGGCAGTAGCTCCTGGTCCCCAGATTACATCCACGATGGGGTGTTCCCATAGCTAGTCTGGACCAGTAGCTCCTTCCTGAACTCCTGGCTTCCACATTGTAGCCGAAAGTGGAGTTCCCTTGTGGGGTCAGTACTGTGGTGGCGTTCTGGGACTCACTCCTGGAGGCCCGGGCCAGAGCTCACTCTGCAATAATTCTGAATTCATTGGATTCTCTATGGTAAATCTTGTCTGCTTCAAGTAGCTAGAAGGGTTATGCACCTTTACTTGAACCCTAGTTGACATGTCACGCCATGAACTGTGGAAGTCAGAGAAGGGTCAGAGTGTGGTCAGGACTGCCTTTCTTTCCTCTTTCAGTTCTGTCTCCCATCTTCAACCTCTCTTCATTCCTGTAACCAGCCTTCAAAGCAATTAACCCACTGATTAGCCATCAAACAACTACAATGCACAAGGCACTCTGCTTGACGTTGGGCTCAGGGCAGTGACCAAAAAAGAAAGATCTTTGCCTCCATGGTGCTTATGAGGATACAGTTCCATTAATACTCAAATAAACATACAATTCAAAACTGTGCTAAGAGTTATGAAGGAAAGTAAGAGGGAACTGTGGGAGAGAATGATGGTGTGGAGCCTGGGAGAGAACTTATTTTGATTGGAAGGTCTGAGAAGATCCCTTACATATGTAACATTTAAGCAGAGTCGCTAATAATGATGATGATGATGATGATGATAATAATAAAAGGCCAGCCATGTAAAGGTGGCAAAGGAGGAGTGGAAAGAGGTACCAGGCAGAAGGAACAGAGCTTATAAAAGCTGTTAGCCTTTCTCCACATCGTTCTGATCTTCCCTTGTGTAACAGTTCTAGGATAAAACATAAACATCTTAGCCTTTCTGTAGCGTAGCTGAAAGCCCTCTGTTTTGACATCTTTCCAGACACTTCTCCTATTTTTCCTATATGTCAGGGTTTTTCAACCATGGCACTATTGACATCTGAGGCTGGACAGCCTTCCTTTGTGGGGACTGTCCTGCTCAGTGTAGGATGCTTAGCAGGATCTCTGGCTTCCACCCTCTAGATGAGAATAGTAGCCCCCCCTCAACCCCCAGTTGTAACAACCAGAAATATCTCCAGATGTTGTCAAATGACCTGAGAGGGGCAAAGTCACCCTTCATTGAGCAGCACTGCCTCATGGGGAGCCCTGCTTTGGTCAGGGTGTTCTTCTAGCTGGCTCCTAAATGCAACTTCAACTTGTATGTTCCTGCACCTCCACTCGTGCAGTTCCCTCTGACTAGTGCCCACTCTTCTGCTTCTGCACAAAGCCTTGCCCACATGTCTACTAGAAATTCATGACTCTCATTTGCCAGCAACCTGTGTCCATTGAGGAAGTCTGTGTGGATGATTCTCCTGTGTATTGAGTGGCAGGGAACGAGCGGTCCCTCCTAGTGCTCTGCCTGCCATTCTGGCTGCAGGGACAGGGGCATGGGGACCGGTACCCTTTCGTTTTTTTAAAAAAATGTTATTGTTGACTTTTTCATTTCCCCCACTACCCTTTCCTTCTGTGCCCAGTTAGGAGTCCGAACGGTGGGTAGGAGGCCCAAGCAGAACCAGAGTCTTTCCATGAGATCTCCGTGGGAGCACACGGCTTTTCTTCTGCCTGGTTAACTGTAAGGACATAGCTCTGGGTGCCTCTGAGCCTATTTCCTGCCACGTGGAGAGAGCCTGCTTATGGCAGGAGACGATGACATCAATACACAAATGAAAGCAGATGCAAGAACTGGTAAGTGGAGAGCAGATGCTGTGACTACATTGAGACAGTCCTTTGTTCAGTTAGAACACTGGCATTCTCACATTCTCCTTCTTTGTTGAAGCCAGGTGGAATTCTCTCCGTCAGTTATCATGGAAGGATGTCCTGACGCAGTACCCTTCAGTGCCTACACCAGATCTCTCCTCTTTCATGAAGTCCTCTCAACACGGAGCAGCCTGAAGAAATGCTTTCTTTGAACTCCTAACAGATGGTTTGCTGAAGCCAGCGGCCAGTTGTGTGCCTC